CGCCTTGTGCAGTGGCTTGGCCAGTATTGGTCTTCTCATAATTATGTCGTACTCTTCTATTGTGTTTCCTTGTCATATGTGCTAAACTTGGATGTTCTCCTTGATTGTAGGGCTTAATCGAGTTTCTGCCTCTTGCCCTGGATGCTCGAGATAGCTCTGGGGAGTCCATAAAAAAGCTTGAGGACCTCATCAGCGTCCTGCAGGGGAAGAACTCATCTCTCCTGCACCATCAAAATAATCTCCGCGAGATGCTAAAGAAGTAAAAAATCGAGCTCGAAGCCAAGATTGATTCCCTTGGTGGAGCCTTACAGAGAAAGAACAAGTGCTCGCGGAGAAGGATGTCGCCCTTGTGGTGAAGGAGGTGATAGTGGCGGAGAAAGAGGCCACTTTGAAGGAAAAGAAGGTGGCGCTTGAGCAAGAGCAGGCTGCTCAAGCCCAGACGGAGGCTGCTCAGGCACAAGGAGAAGCTGCTCGAGCTGAGTTGGAGGCCACCCTGGCCAAAGAGAGGACTGACCACGCCCATGAACGCAAACGTTATGCTGATGTCGCTGCCCTTCGGGCCCGAAAAATGATGTGGTATACTACCATAGGGCAGCTCTTCCTCCGGGGACATTGTGCACAAGTGGTGGCTGACTTTATGCAGTCACCACAATTTATAAAAGAGCTCCAGGACTTCAGGGTGGACTGCTTCCAGTTTGCCCTACAGAAAGCGGGCGAGCAGATCACTGAGGACGATTTCGAGCAGCTCGACACAGATACTATCTAGAACGTTTTACCCAAGGTGCCCTCTAGTTTCTGTGGCGATCCCAACTTACCGCTCGAGCACGAGTGGTGGTCGGGGCTCTTTGAAAGAACCTTGCTCGATCCGAGACTCTAGAGAAATCGTTTGCTTTGCCAGATGGCGTGACTCCTCCAATCTCCATGTTGCTCGCAATGGCCGAATCTATCCGTCAACGTCCGCTCAATGAGGCCTGCGATTCAACCTCTGGAACTAGTCATCCGCCTGAGCCGCACGCCTCCTCCAGCAGTGCCGACTCCGTCGCTCTTCCTCCGTAGATTAGTTTTGTATTTTATAATTGTGATGAACTTTGTATTTTGACGAATTTTTGTAATCTCGTGTAATATTTTGTTTGATCCATTTCTGTTTCTGCGTTTCTCCATATTTTTTTGTAATGAGATTTGGTAATCTTGTATAACTTCTCAACCGGGTGGTCGAAACATGTAACCTAATATATCTTCATCTGCAATAAGACATAACGTATAATCAACACATTTTCCACATTCATACTTGTGTGTGTGCACTTGCTTTTGATCAGTCTATGTCATATTTAAAGTTTGAACCACAAATTTAGCAAAGTTTGTACACCTAAAACTTTAACCATAACACATGCCCATTTTTAGAGGTGGTCAATGCATGCGACCATCCAGCCTCATTGCCTTAAACATGATGGGTATCTATTTTGAACACATGCCCACCTTCAGAGGTGGTCGATACAGGCGACCATCTAGCCTCATAGCCTTAAACATGATGGGTTTTTGACTGTGAACACATGCCCACCATCAGAGGTGGTCGATGCATGCGACCATCCAGTCACATGGCCTTTCACATGATGAGTTTTTTTATTTTGAACACATGCCCACCTTCAGAGGTGGTCGATGCATGAGAACATCCAGCCTCATGGCCTTAAACATGATGTGTTTTTGATTTTGAACACATGCTCACCTTCATAGGTGGCCGATGCATGCGACCATCCAGCCTCATGGCCTTAAACATGATGAGTTTTTTATTTTGAACACATGCCCACCTTCAGAGGTGGTCGATGCATACGACCATCTAGCCTCATGGCCTTAAACATGATGGGTTTTTTTATTTTGATCACATGCCCACCTTCAGAGGTAGTCGATGCATGCGACCATCCATCCTCATGGGCCTTAAACATGATGTGTTTTTGCGCTATTGGACTCCTCGTGGACACCTATGTCTTCGCGCACTTCCACCCAGCCCAAAGGCCTTAGTCATGGTGGGTTTGCACCATTGAGTTCCTTGTTGATGTCCATGTCTTCATGCTCCTCCACCCAGCCTGAAGGCCTTATTTATGGTGGGTTTGTCTTCACACTTGCCCACCCAATTCGAGAAATTTTCAAAACTGGAGGCCATCCAGCCCGAAAGCGTGAGTTTTCGACCAACCTGCCCATCCTAAGGGGTATTCTAAACAAGCGACCACCCAGCCCAAAGGCCTTAGTCATGGTGGGTTTGTCTTCACACTTGCCTACCCAATCTGAGGAATGATCGAAACAGGAGACCACCCATCCCGAAAGCGTGAGTTTTTGACCAACCTTCCCATCCTAAGGGGTGTTTAAACACGCGACCACCCAGCCCGAAGGCCTTAGTCATGGTGGGTTTGTCTTCACACTTT